AGGCGGCGGCGGCCGGGCTGGCGGACGCCGAGGAGCTGTGCGGGGTGGAGCGGTGGGCGCAGGATGCCGTCCCGCCGGGCGCGGCCTTCGTCGCCTCCGCGTCGTACCGCGGCCCCGGCAACAACGACTCGCGGAGCAACAAGGCGCTGCCCATCCTGCTGTGGTGGAGCGGGAGCCTCTTCCCCCACTTCCCCGGCGAGACGGAGCGGATCGACTGCCCGCGCGGCTCCTGCCTCGTCACCCGGAGCCGGCGGGTGGCCCGGCACCGCCGCACCAAGGCCCTCATCTTTTACGGCACCGACTTCAGGGCGTACGAGGCGCCGCTGCCCCGCCTGTCCCACCAGACCTGGGCGCTCTTCCACGAGGAGTCCCCCATGAACAACTACTTCCTCTCGCACTCGCCCGGCATCCAGCTCTTCAACTACACGGCTACCTTCCGCCGGGAGTCTGACTACCCCCTCACGCTGCAGTGGCTGCCCGGCGTGAGCTACCTGCGGCGCCCGGCAGTGCCCCTGGCCGAGAAGGACGCGTGGCGGCGGAGGGGCTATGCCCCGGTGCTCTACATGCAGTCCCACTGCGATGTCCCTTCGGACAGGGACCGCTACGTGCGGGAGCTCATGAAGTACATCCAGGTGGGTGGGAAGCTGTGGCACGGTGTTGCTGTAGGAGCTGGGTCCGCCCGGCTGTCCCCGCCCCGTCCACCTCCTCTTGTTAACAGGGTTTGTTTGTCCTTGTTTTTAGCCGAGACACGAATCTTAACGGGATGCATGCCACCCACGAGCTGGACAGAAAAACTAGTTGTGTTCCTTCCCAAAGCGTGGTCTAGACTACACCACGTGCCAGTAGGTAGGCCTGATGGTAGCTGTTGGCTGTGGAGTTGGCCAGACTGGGGGTCAGTCACAAGCTGGGCCAAGCCCTGAGCAAGCTTGCTCTCATGGACCAAGTGCTAGAACTTGCTGAAATCTCCGGACCTTTACGTTGGCGTACAGGAAGGCTGTTCGTTTACAGGCCTTGTTCCCGTTTGAAAGTATAGGCGTGCAATAAAAAGACAGGTTGCTGTGTTTTGAGAGCCTGCTCCTTCTCTGTGTTATGCTAGGACCGTGTTATTTCTGTGGTGGTTTGTGCTGCTGTGGCACAGCTGATAGAGAGTAGCTTCATAAACTGAAATACTGTAGTTTCTTTCAAGCAGAAAAAAAGTTCAGTGCTTTTTTTTCTTAAAAATTCTGAAGGATAGTAGATTAGGGGGAAAAAAGCATCTGGTTTTAGTCTTTGTCTGAAACATCTTTTTCCTTGTAATTTCTGCTGTTTCTGTTGGTTGCAGTTAATTTATTGTGCAAGTTTGTCATGTACTCAGTAGTGAAGCAAAGACAAAAGGATTTTTAAAATATGACTGTATATTGTCAAAGTATGAAGCAGATTCCAGATCAAGTGTATTGTCTTTCATTTTTAGACAGTATTCTTTTAGTTCCCTGCATCAATTTTTCTCAGTCTAACAAATGGCAAATTTTTGCCAGCCTGCTGAGACTGGTGGGGACTGTGTGTAATAACTGTTTGGAAAAGTATTGGGTTAAGTAGAAAGATGACTTTTAAATTAACATAGAGTTGAATGCTCTTCCTTGTCTGTCGGCTTCTGATTTACCTGGTAATAAATACATTTTTGAGTGATACCTTCTTTTCTGTGCCTTCCCCCACCCCTCAATCTGTAGCATAGTTTATGCTGCTTTTGAAACTGAACACTGTTTTCTCTAAAGCTGTTAGAACTGGGACTCTAGGAATAGTCACAAGGGAAAGAACTCAGGAGTGAAAGTGAAGCTAAACTAAAGTAGCTAGGAACTGATCAAAGTTAGGAATTTTACAAGAAGTGTAAGCTCTGAAAACAAGCTTCAGGCAAACAAATCACTTTGTAAAGATGCTGGTTGTTGTTTTAGGTTGACTCCTATGGGAAATGCCTGCATAACCGTGAGTTTCCCAGTGAGCGACTGAGACACACGTCTACAGCCACTACAGAAGATGCTGAATTTATGACTTTTATTGCCAGGTACAAGTTTCATCTGGCCTTGGAGAATGCCATATGTGATGACTACATGACAGAGAAGCTGTGGCGTCCAATGCACTTGGGTGCTGTCCCAGTATACCGAGGCTCCCCAGCTGTGCGGGACTGGATGCCAAACAACCTCTCCATCATTCTTATAGATGACTTTGACAGCCCCCAAGAGCTGGCAAAGTATCTTGATTTCCTGGACAAGAATGGAGAGGAGTATATGAAGTATCTAGAGTATAAAAACCTTGGTGGAATCAAAAACCAGTTCTTGCTAGAGAGCTTGGAGAGACGGGAGTGGGGTGTGAATGACATGACTCTGCCTAATTACCTGAATGGCTTCGAGTGTTTCGTCTGTGACAGGGAGAACACCCGGGTCAAAGAGGAGCAGGAACACAAAAAGTCTCGTGGGAAAATTCCAGCTCCCAGACCTCGCATAGCTCAGTACAAGCACATGGGATGTCCTGTGCCAACCCCTGGGTTTGGAAGTGTTGAAGACCTCTCTGGAGGAGACAGGTAATGTACCAATACTATGCTTTTTGAAGGAAAAAAAGCTTCAAATAATAGTAGCTGTAACTTTTAGTAATGCTTTGTACTTAAAGGATCTCTTAATACATCTCCAGTTACACTTTATATTATGTCTCATCGGTGGTATGGTAGTTCTGTTAATATTATGTGACATTGAGGCCGAAAAAGAGGCTTGGATGGTGGTATCTGTTGGTGGTTGAATGAGGAGCATGAGACACCCATAATATTCTGTTAAAATGCTCTGTGACATTGGGCGATGTAGTTATCCTTTGTCTATCTTAGCCTCTTTGTTTGGAGGACGGGTGTTTTTCGGTACAGTAATGGTAAAGCACTTGGTAGCCCTCGGGTGAAAGAAGCTCTATACCTCATTACAAAGTACTGTGTTAAGAATGGGGCTGCCACTGTTCAGTGCAGGCCTAGTTAACTCCTGTTGACTTCAGAGCAGAAGTTAGGCTCACCCAGAATACTTTAAAAGACTTTTTGTTGGTTTTTGTGACAAAATTCTGGCTTGTTGTAAGAGTTGGTCAGAAAATCAGCATTGTCTCAACATTGTCATCAGGAACATGAACAGTACATTACCTGACAATGGCCTGTTTGGAGCGCAGCGGCCGGTCCCAAGGACAGAATGTGCGGTACAAGGTTCCTGGAAGGTACCTGGCTGGAACCATTAGAGATAACCACATAGCTACTGTCAAAAAGGATGAATTGCCAATGTTGGCATAACACTGACGAAGAAATCATGAACGTTAGACGAACTTTGCTTCATTATAATACCAAAACACACCTCCTGGTCGAAGGCTGCCCGCCTCCAAGACTAACCACGCCTCGGACACTGACCCCGCGCCTGCGTGATAGCCTCGCTTGAGAAGGGTGGGGATATGATAATTGTATTCTGAGAAGGATGGAGACTCCTGAGGCAGAGGTGGAGCAAGGTGTGTTACTAAGCATAAAAGATGACTTCTGAACAACAGAAGTTGGAAGCTTCCCCACCAAGGACCACGACGATCGACGACGCAGCATCAGCTGGACCCGGGACCGTTAGGACGTCCTGAGATCAGCGGTGGTAGCTATAACCCCTCTTTCTCCTCTCTCTAAACTTAACTTTACTTTTCTCCTTTCTTTCACCCATCTCTAACTATCGCGTGTCTCCTCACAGGCAATACAATAAAGTTTTACTGTGTGATTACTGCTATCCCCTTTGGTGTTGGTCACCTTAATTTTGCACTTTCGAGATCGTAGCAAACGAACCATCACGAGTCCACCAAGTGGACCGTGACACTTGTGTTGAAGGATGCCATCCCATTTATTTCCTCCTAGAGGGACCATGCAGGACAGAGAATAGGTTGAGTAGCTTCTTGTCCCCTTTGTGCACAGGGATTGGTAGTGTCGCTGGAATCTCCCAGGCCTATAGCCCAGTGTTAGCCATCTCCAGTGCAAGCTGCGCTGAAGTCTGTCAGCAGGGAACTAACCATGCTAACCCTCAGGCAGCTACTTTTGACAGGCAGAATAGAGTTTTGTTTGCATGGCCTACTTAGTATTTATACATGTGTTGGTACACAACAAGTCAGTGCTTGGGTTCCCAAACCTTGAGTTGTTCCATTGACAGTATTTGAAGTTGCAGTTGCTAGAAGGAAAGGTTCTTGCAGTTCATAAACCACGTGTGCACTTTTTGTAGTGTGTATTACTAGTGTAACATGTTTGGATCCCCCAGCTTTGTCACTGTGGTGGGTTGACCCTGGCTGGATGCCAGGTGCCCACCAAAGCTGTTCTATTGCTTCCCCCCACACAGCTGGAGAGGGGAGAGAAAATATAATAAAGGGCTTGTGAGTCGAGATAAGGACAGGGAGAGATCACTCACCAATTACCATCATGGGCAAAACAGACTCAACTTGGGGAGAATTAACTTAATTTATTACCAATCAACCAGAGTATGGTAAGGAGAAATAAAACCAAATCTCAAAACATCTTCCCTCCACCCCTCCCTTCTTCCTGGGCACAGCTTCACTCCCAGATTCTCTACCTACTCCCCCCCCCCCCCCAGCGGGGCAGGGGGACAGGAAATGGGAGTTACGATCAGTTCATCACACGTTGTCTCTGCTGCTTCATCCTCTTAAGGGGCAGGATTCCTCACACTCTTCCCCTGCTCCAACATGGGGTCCCTCCCCTGGGAGACAGTCCTCCAGAAACTTCTCCAGTGTGGGTCCTTCCCACGGGCTGCAGTTCTTCACAAACTGCTCCAGCATGGGTCCCTTCCACGGGGTGCAGTCCTTCAGGAGCACACTGCTCCAGCGTGGGTCCCCTGCGGGGTCACGAGTCCTGCCAGAACACCTGCTCCAGCATGGGCTCCTCTCTCCACAGATCCACAGGTCCTGCCAGGAGCCTGCTCCAGTCACTTTTCTTTGTGTTACATGCAACAATTTCTGCCTTTTTAGGCAATTACTCAAGTGCATGCAAGTCACTTTCTATAAGCCATCAGACAGCCATCATAAAGATGAACCCTCAGCTGTAGCAGATCTTGCCTATGCTCATAGATATCACCAAAGATTTCAATGTTCTGATGTCAGTCCTGCTGTAGTATTAAATTAATGACCTTTTGAAAATATTGGGAAGATCTCATGCACTGTCCAGAAGGAAGTTGTCAATATATTCTATCCCAGTTTATATCAGTTTACAGCTTTGTTAATAATTGAATTGAATGCTTAGGAGTGTTAAAGGTTAGAAGAAATAGTGTGTTGAAAATGTAGAATCCATCATTTCAAGTACGCTAACCCAGAACAAAGTTCTATGTGGATATGAAGCTCTCAAAGTTTTTATTACGTTATCATCCACAAAAAAATATGAAGAATTTTAAGTGTGGGGAACTATTTCAATGTTTGAATGCTTTGAAAAATGGCCAACTGAAATTAAAAAAGGGAAATAAGCCTGAGGTCATTCAGGTTGTTTAGGAAATGCCTATTTCACAAAACTTGTGATGTTCGTCATTAGAAAGCATTTTTCACAGTACAATTAAATCTCATATTGACTAATTGAAAAGTTATGCTTGTAAGTAAAAGGGGTCCATAATCCTTTGTTTTCTGTTGGTTGATTGATTTGTTGGAGGTTTTTTATAGTAATACCTTTTCTCAGTCTCGGTAGCAAAGTGTGTTTTTTTTCCTTGTAGCACGCTCTGCAGCATGCTCCTCGAGTATTCTTTACTTTTTTGTAGATCTTCTTTTGCTTGAGCAGCAGATGGCAGTAGAGAAATACATTTGAAGGCCCAGCCTGGGTGCCTATGCCATTTACTTGCAAGCTCAGGTACTCCTGTCATTCTGTGCAGTGGTCATCAGTAAGGAGTTTTGAACAGTTGGTCCATAATCCAAGCTGCAGTTGCATCCCATGGAAGTTTCCATGTCTCATTGAACCGGAGTATGTATTCTTCTCCTGTTTGTAGATATGAGATGTGTCTGGAAAAATTGTACCAGGGAAGCTTCTACATTGTCTGCTATCTACTTTAGAAAGAGATGTATCTATACCTTCTGAGGCATTATCAGGGGGATCTCCAGTGAAATACAGTGGTTTCTATCTTGTAAGCATCTGAGTTTTCACTGTTTTTATCTCCAAAACGGAGCGTGATTACTTAGAATTGTAAATGATGTGACAGTAACATAAAATTACTGCCAAAGCATTAACTAAACATGATCATATTTTGTCAGAGTTTGACAGTAATATTATGTCAACAGTATGACCAATTTAGATGATTGTCTACTGAGCCAGTCAATTGTATATTTTGATACTTAAAAAGCATTATTGTGGAAAAAGGATGCAGGCCTAGTGGGATTACAAATGATAGACTATATGCAACATACAAGGTCTGATTATAAACATACACTGTGACTTTTGAGTTCTGGAGGCTTCTGGAACTAAGAGAACAGCAAAGGCAATTGGAGTTTAGATATTTTTAGAGCAAGTACCCAATTACAATAAGGTTACCCTGCGCATTTGCATGCTCTGTAATCCTTATTCCCAGATGTAATTTGTTTTTAGGGTTGACAAATGTGCTGAATTGACAGAACTGCAGCATCAGAATCTCTCTCTATGTAGGTATGTGTAGCCGGAGCACGTTATTGTACCTTCACCTTGCTGTCCTTTAGCTCTAAGCATGGAGACATGGTTCCTAAATCCTTATGCTTGCAGCCTCACTTGTATTTGGACTTCTGGGCTTCACAGTCAAGTGAGCTTAAGAAGAAAAGCTGTAGAACAACTCTTTGTATATGTTAGGTTATGGGTCAGTCACTATAGTCTATTGAATTCTTGGCTGCTTTGTACAGAAAATAGTGAGTTACAGTGCTACTGATGAGTAGAATACCTGTTTAGTAGGAACTGGAATCTCTAATTATTCTTGGACTCCCAGCTTTGTGAAGAGAAACGTTTGGTTTGTTTCATTGATAATGATTCATTTTCCAAAAGTGGGGCGTTTGAGAGGATAACTATAAGAACACTAAGTGACAATACTTTTTCAGTTACCTAAAGTTTTCATCTGTGGTAGCATGAGAAAAGAGAAGCCAGTGTACCTTTAATACAGGAATATTTTGAAACCATCATGGTTTTCCTAGTTCCATTTTATGTCGATGTCACAGTTTATTTATGATGAGAATAAACAGCTTGAAAGTGTATCAGATTTGCCACGTGTACAGTGTAAGGTGTCTCTTGCAATGAATCCAATAATCAGCCAGGATTAAAGATAGATCTGTATCTCATGGTAATAATGATTCAGGTGTACGTAGTTGGTAGTTTCAGGGTATTTGTACAGTCCTGTTTGTGCTGGGGTACCAATTTTTTCCAAGTTACATAATCAGAATGAAATTATTTTCTTAAAAACCAATAACAGCAATGTAAAAAGAAAAATACCAAAGGGTTCTTATTTAATGTTTTTGACAAAAGTTTTCACTTGGATACTGGAATTCCTTTCAGTGTTGGTTCCATAGAGTTCAGCTGGAAAACATTTTCTGTTACCTAGTGCCACTTAGTCTTGTGTCTAGTACTTAATGCAAGTATACCCATTTTCCTAACATGTGCCCTTATGCAGTGCTGTAAAAAACCAAGTAACTCATGTTGGCAGTCCTTGAACAAAGGTTAATGAATTTAGCTAGTAAACAATGTGATCTCACAATAAGTCGAAGTGCTGCATTTTACAAGGGAACCTTCTGGCAGATTTTTTTTTTTTTAAGGTGGAAGTAAGCCTCTGTCCATGATCCTTCACATTGTAATCTATGTTAAAAGCTTTATTTTGAGGCCTCTGTTGGTGTACACTGCAGAAATGTCCCACCATAGATGATGCTGTTGACCACAGAAAACTAATTTCCATGGCATAAAAGTTGTATGCTGCTCCACAAAGAAAGTGACTATGACATGTGTGTTTCTTTTTGGTCTTCCTGGAGTAGTGGTGAGATCTGCTTCTGGGCAGTGCAGCCATGCTTGATTTAATATATGGTGTATAGAGTGAATGCAAATGGCACTGTACTTATTTCTGTGATTGGGAGGGAGAAGAATCAAAAAGCTTTGTATATGTTAACAAGTGTTGGGTAACTCATATGGACAGATTAAAAAGAGCATCATGTTTGGTCCTTATTCCCAAAATTTGTGATGGGCTTATGTGGCTAGGTAGCAGATACAATGGAGGAGAAATAAATAAATTATTACCATACCTTGATATAACACAGATGAGAGAAGTAGTCCACATGATCATGAATGGGAAGGGAATTGCTGAAAGTTGCAGTGATGTAGTCTGTGCTATGAAAACTTGGAGGTGGGCATTGAAAAAGAGAAAGCCTATACTTGACCATCTAGTCTGGAAATAAAGAATAGAGTCAGGGCTGAGGGATATAATGATTTTTTTGTCTCTGCCATGTATAACCTGAGTTGGTAATGAGTAGCCGTCATTCTCTAATTGTTAAATGGTTTATATGGAAAAAAAAAAAAATTGATTCCTAGGCTAACTGTTACACACATACTGGCCATAGAAGGCTACTCTCAAAATTGTGTAAGGACTCTGTGCTAGATTTTATTTCAGTAGAAGTTTTTATTCTCTCCAATTAATAATTTAGTCTCTTTGGTTAATACTATAGTCGCATGCTGATATTTCTAGAATGTTGTAAAGCTAATAGTTAACCTACATTTTCTGTAGAGAATTTTCAAAGCAAGTTTCTTTAAATGACTTGGAATGCAGTGGCACAGTAACAACATACTTTTTTATGACCATCTCTGGGCCTGTTTTCCTCTCAGGTGAAAGAAGAAAAATTGGTTTCAGTGCTATTACAGCTGCAGACTCATTTGGTTTTTTTTTAATAATTTATGGTGATGTTTCTTTTTTGTTTCAGTTGGAAAGAGATGTGGCTGCAGGATTATTGGCAAAGCCTTGATCAGGGTGAGGCCCTCACTGCTATGATTCATCGCAATGAGTCGCATCAGGGAAGATTTTGGGACTATATGCATGAGATTTTTCTCAAGAGGACAAAGCAACACTGACCCATCTTTGTAAGAGCTTAATCTGAAAATTGCATTGAAAGTTGAGACTGCAAATTCTTACCTCTCTCCAAATGTTTGCCTTGAAATAGAAGAAAAACTCTCACAGAGACTATTTTTTCTGGTGCATGAAGTGGGTAAGTCTCTGTTATGATTGGATTCCAGCAGTGGAGATCTTAGCAACTGCTTTGATCTGAATTTCAGCTCTGTGGCGTGAAGCCACTGCTAACTTGCAGGTGTCAACATGTGGGGCAAAAGAGGAATTTACTCTCCTTTTGCATTTGGTATAGTTTCCTTGTGGCTTACATGACTTCAGAGGAACACCTCTTCAGATTCTTGCTCAAATGCCCGAAGTTATTTCAGGGATTTTTTTAATCTCCAAAATATTAATCATTTTTTATAAGTATTTTATCAGTCACGTATTCTCCTCATTAAGGTGTACTTTTAGCTGCTATTAACAAATAGCTTTTCCAGTGAAGGAATAACAAAAGACAAATGTCTGTGGAGAGCAATTGTGCCTTATGAAATTGCAGCAATAAAGTCTCTTCTCCCCAAGTAAGCATGCCTCAAATACTCCTACTTTACAGGATAACTGAATAGCTATGGGCAGGTCACTTACTCTCTGCCTAGTTTCTCTTTTACTAATTTACCAGGTGATACGTACAATGGGATGAGAGACTAAATTATTTAATTCACAACTTCTAACAAAGTATTTCACACCAGAAAATGTATTACCTGGTATTGTGCAGAACTAGAGTAAAATTAGTATGCTTTGGTTCTTTTAAGTTTCCATCAGATCTGAAATCCCAGCTATAGTCTTGACTTCTTGTTATCTCCTTAATGCTAGCAATTCAGAGGCCTTTGATTTGTTCTTTTTGAGTATCTGCAGCTTTCTGCAAAGACAAATACATTTTAATGATGGTGCCTTTCCAGTGGTCTCTGCAGTTTGGATACAAACCTTGCAGCCTTTCTATGCTGAAGTGGGTGATCAGAATCAGGTGCACTGAAACAGTTTTGTATCTTTACCCAATCTTAACACTATATGATCCTGGTCTGTGACCAGAGTTCCTAAAAGTAAGTGATCACATGTGGATAGATCTTCCTTGTTGTGTAGCCTGTATCTCTTACAGATATAAATAAAGTCCTCTGTTCCCTGCCATGTTGGGTACCTTTCTGAAATAATTGATCTTGCATTGGAGGGAGACTAATTCACCTAGTGTCACTGGTTTAAAAGCACAGGCAAATACAGCCACACTGCTGTGATGTCTCTAATGGTATAATGGCATCTTATTTCTCCATTTCTCCTCCCTCTTCAGAAGTAAATACTGACTAAATAGCCAGAGTTTATCTATGCCTAAGATAGGATGTTGGTAATGAAAGTCTAGAGTCTGTGGGGTAATTTCATTTTGTAAGGCAGTTCATGCATTGCTATGGGAAGCCTGAACCCTGTTAGTAAAAGTTAGGAACGGGAGTGAATCTACATTCTGTCCCTAATTAAGTCACTATCTATTGCTTAGCTGTGGATGGATCACTTAATCTCTTTTTTTTTTTCCCCTCAAATTCCCATTCATTATGTTATAGATATGATATTATAGGTATAATATCAGTATAGGCAATGATATGCATCTCAATGTTTGCCTCTCAGGTGGTACAACAATATTGCAGTGTTAAAATCAGGGCACCTTGACAGAGGAGACTTCAGACCCATAACTGTCACTGGATTCTTGTAAATGTAGAAAATGCATACACTATACACTGATCTTTTTTTTTGGAGAAAACTGCTTTTTTTATATCTCTTCTGTAATAATAGTAACAAATGGTTCTTCAGCTAAAATGCATTCATCAGTTTACATTCTTTTTTTCACTTACTCAGGAGACATGAATATATCTGAATTAATTGTTATAAGTGGATTACTCAAATCAGATTAAGATTACACATATGTGTATTCAGAATTGAAGGGCCACAATGTTCTTGAGAAGTAAATTAAGATAAAACAAATTAAGGCTGCTTTAGTTCTATCAACTTCTACTGAACAGTTTAATGATAATTAAATAAGTTGTTTGCATTAATGCCTTCAGTTTCTCTTAATTTCATGTTTCTGTATAGAAAATCATTCAGTCTTCTTTGCATGGTTCTCTTAATTAGCTGTATCTCAAAACCCTTTCTTATTCAAGTGTTTGGTGGCATAGTCAGGAGGAGAAATTCTGATCCTGCTTTTTGTCCTAAACAAAAAATAAGAACCAGGTACTAGCACACTCTGCTTTTTCTATTTTGTCGTGTAATTTAAGTAGATTTTTCTAGAAGTGAAGTATTTATAACCAAGTCCAGGTATTTGTTATATTTTATCTGCTGTTGCCAAAATTAGACATGCTACATTTAATATATTGTCCTTGTAGGAATAACAGGACGAAGTACCAATATAAGCATGTGTATCATAGCACCTGCTTAGTTCTTGATTAGTGATGTCCTAAAGACTCACTTCGTCTTCCCACTCAGCAAAATGAGCATGTTTGTCAACTAACAATCGAATTGAAGATATGGTGGTACAAACTTAAGAGTAGCTAGCAAACCAGATAAAAACTTAGTGCTTTGGACCCTGATTCATTAATTTGCTAGTTCACAACCAAGTATTCCTTCACCCCTATTTATTATCTGTACTCGGTATATTACAGTCACCAGTCAGCACGTTTTTTTATTACCCCTACAGGGGGTGTTTTTGTTGGTCTTTTTGCTGTATGTATGTACTACAGGAGGCTGTTGCTTTGAGCTTTGTGACTGTTGCCAAGCGTAAGTATTTCTTATTGCCACATCCCTTCCTAACATGGGTATGAAGGTAGCACAGATATGAAAGTAACTTTGTCACAGGTATTCTGTGTTTTTTGTCTGAGCTTTTCAAAGTACAACTTTTGGTTTGTAGTTAAGAGTCACTAGCCGGTTTCAATAGCTTTGTCTTCTGAGTTCTTAGTGTCTTCCTAGGTTTAACTGTTTTTTTACAGTGTTACAGGTGGTGAACTTCTCAAAAGGTAATGAGTATCAGCTACCACTCTTCATAGCTGTGATGTCCACCCAAGCCTTGTGTTTCTCTTGTACCTGTAGTAATAGATCATACTAGCTTTATTGTCTCCTGTATGTCACAATATGACCATGATTTATAAACAGGGTGTCTATTGGCTATATTAATATACTAAATTTGTTTCACTTACTGTACATGGTGCGCAAGAATTAAGGCTGAAATATTTCTTCCAGTGCATAGTATGAATAACTTGCATAGCTGCCAGGCAAACTCAGGGGCAGGAAAGATGGGAATCCTCCCCAGCTGGCTAAAGAGTTGTGGTTGCAGTTCGACCTTCACAACATCCACTTCTCTGCACAGCAAGGACTGCAAAATGTTGCATAAAGGTTGTTCTACCACCAGGTCTTTCCTTTCATCTCTCTCCTGTTATTTCAAGGAGGCAGGAGGAGAAGCTGGGTCTCATAACCTTGAAGAGTTTGCAATTAATTTACATAATAATGCATTTGAAAGGATTCCTATGTAATGTCCAGCGACTACTGCCAGTCTTAATCAAAGTGAATTCAATTTACGATCCTAGTTGTCTTTCTACTAATGCAAGTATGTGAATGCAGACAAAGAGGAGGGTCACTGCAGCAGCTATTAATATTTTGCAAAAAGGTTTCTGATTTCTGTTCTTGACTGCTAACTGGATTTCTCACTTCACTGCTTTAAATCCAAACCAGCTAGGAGGTGGCTGAATGTAGTTGTGGCTACTGGAAGGCTTATATGATACTCAGACTGAACAGTGTATACAACATCTTTTTAATCAAGTTCTTACAGTGCAGGTGCCCATACTCATAAAAACACACAGCTGAGACTAATCAGGAATTTTAGCAAAGCTATCGAGTATTGAGGATGATAAAGAGATTACCTCTGTAAACCCTTTGGTAGGCTTCTACTAACTATGGTGAGTCACTTCACTGCTTTTCATGCATTTTGCCTGTTTACTGTGTGACTAGAGGGAGGATTTCAAAGCCATTGGGATAGCTTTATTCACTAGCATTGATGTTCTAAAAATAGGTATTTCCTCATTACTGCTTATATGAAACACTAGTAGATTCTATTGATGCTGTGTCTCAGAAGTGACTCGACAAGCTAGGATAAGTTTATGCCCTCTTAGAGGTGAGAGAGGAGAAACAAATGTCTCACAGAGGGTTAAAAATCTAGCAATCCAGTTCATTGCATTGGACAAGCTAAAGTTCTTATTCTTCTGCCTGTGATCCCAGGTGCTGCCTATTTTTTCGGTAAGAAGCTGGGTATTTTATACACTGAACTAGTAGTCTGTGTTTTCTGTCCTTTAGCAAGGACTGCAATTTCCAGGAAGCATGTAACCTTAGTGAAGACTATTTATTTGATACCTAACATTGATAATTTCTAGAACTGAAAAAGAATTGCCTTTTCTTATTCTGTCACTGTAATTTTCAAACTGAAGGATCTCTGGGTCCTCTGTGATGGTAAGTAGAATAACAGCCAGGCAACAGTGGATTGTATATGTTTGGAGGGAAAGGAGAATGAGATTCTTTCCCTGCAAATGGTCTGCAAAGTGCAGCAGCTGGAGAATCACAGCAGAAATGCCCCTCTTGTACCTTGGCAGAGGGTAGTTTTAAGTGGCGTGGAAGAACAAATAATTCCTAAAGGACTGGGAACAGGATAAATTGAATTGAAACACAGCCATCAGGGACATCACTGTTTAAACAGGCTTTGCTGTGTTAGACAAGGAGCCATCTGCCTCTTTTACCATCCTTGCATACACCCTCTTCAGCCATTGTCCCAAGAGAGCCACTCCCTTAATGATTAGCTGTCATCCATTTGGTTGGATTTAATTAAGATTGTTGATGGATCTCCAGGCACCTTCTAGGAAGTTGTATTAGTCGGAAACATACAGGGTGGCAGGTTCCTTCATTCTGCCTGGAGACCTCTACTGACAGGTTGAAATTAATCAGAGACAAAATCCTTTTAGTGATATGACCAACTGAGCCAAAGCTTGTGTCAGGCTTTAACAAACTGCACTTCTTTTATGATTCAGTGTCTTGGAACTGGCAGTGAGAGATACATGGCCCTGCAGAGGGATTAGGAAGGGTAGAGAAGAATGGAGCTGCAGGATATGTTCCAGAGCTCTGACATGACTGGCATCTTAATTTGTATGCTGTTATATACATTCCTGCAGAAAAGACCCATCTAACGCTGAAGTGTCTCAGCAAGAGATGGTTCAGGGGATCTTGGAATGGATCAGAGCAGATCATGGTATTTGTGGCATCTCTGAGCAAATAAGGAGGCATCAGGTAATTTGCAGTGGAAATGAGCTGGATTTGAGTAGATCCGGGAGTTAGGGATGGCAGCTCAGAACTAGTCAGGTGGACAGAATAATGCAGGGCAGCTGATCTGATTGAGATAGCTCAGGATAAGGTATGCTAGCACTGGAGTTGGGGCAGGGAGGTGACAGGTCAGAAAAGAAATTGCATCTGTCATTGTGATAATGAATGCATTTGTGCTATTAAGTGCTAATATTGTCCAAACACAATAGCTCTGCAGACAGGAGTAAGTCTGAACTGACTGGAATCTTAGCAAGACTTTAACTACTAAAGTTAAAGTGGGGGTGCCTTAACTTTTAAGGCATCTCCAATTAAACTGGAGTTTAAGGAGGTCAGGGTGAGACAGCTGAGAATAAATTGTGGTAGGTGAGGGCATTATGAAGTTGTATGAGACGAATTGGGGCATTCAGGATAAACTTGGGTGAATATACTGGAATTTACCTGAAAGCTAGATCCAAGCAGTTCAAAAAGACATGGATATCAACTCTATTCATTTCTCCCAGTACAACTGATTTCTTAGCCTCATCCCCCAAATGTTTTTTAGGCAGTGTGTGAAGGTTTTACATAGTTACTCCAGAAAGCAAAGGATTCATGGTGTAATTTCTCACCTCTTAAAGAGGTATTTAAGACAACAGTCTCGTTTTAAGGGTGTATTTTATGACAGCATTGTTAGCATTGTATTAGCATTTACTGTAGCATCATAACTGGCCTTTATTCCAGTTGTGATATAGATACTTTTCAAATCTAATATTAATAGCTTAATCTCTCTGGTTTTGACAAGCTGAAATGTGGGCTAGGATTCAGCTTTAACTATGTTGGTCCAAGTAAAGTAGTTGTAAATGCAGTTAGAATTTTACATTTTCTTTATAGTTGTACATTCAGGATTCTCAATGAAACATCTGTGGGGTTCACTTGTCAGTGTGTTGAGGGAATTGGGTTTCTGATTGTCCCTGTGAAGTCAGAACCTCTGTCCCATCCATCAGTGTCTCTGTGCTATCAGCAATACGAAATACAGGCTGTAGAGAGACTTGACTACTGAGTAACACACTTCTTCTGTTGTTCCACATTCTCCATTAAAAACAATGTTTGTATCTTGCTTCAGACATCTTTGCATGGTGTGTGCAGACACCATCACGTATGTTATTCTGTCTGCTCAGGAATTTCTTAGGCTGATGCTCCAGTCCCAGGCTGAATGCCAAAAAAAGAGATTCTAATGCAGACAGCAGTAACTGACAGGAAGCTATTACAATTCTCCTTGTGTAGCTTGCCTTTCTCTTTCTCAGCCTCCCCCCCCCCCCATTTTTCTTGGAATTAGTTAAGAGAGAGCAACTTTTGAAGGTGAATGTAGCTGAAGGTGCTGCCACCATTAGCTAATGTAAGTTGGAAAAAGGGAGGCTGATTTACAGGGACTGCAGTTCAGCTTCTGTTATGTCCTAGTATTTGCATCTTTCCTTTTTATTGTTGTGCAAGTCTACTTAGTAATTGCAGCAGGCAAATGCAGCAGAGAAAAGTGGGTATCAGTAGGGGTAACTAGAAGAGGCAAAACCAAGAGCAGCTGAACCTCACATGAACTGGAATACTGAGAAGTACTTCCCTGTCTTGAATTTGCAAGATTTCTAATGCTTAGAGTTGCAGGATGCAAGCCTTCTAGCCTAATTTGAACGTGTCAGCTTGTTTTTCTTCTCCACTGGTAGCCAAGCTTGAATGATAGCTCATTTCCTGTCCCATCAGAAAAAATGGAAGCAGAGAAACATCCCTCTTACCAAAATGTTTCAGAACTTCCAGACAGCCTGTTTGGACCTAGAGAGATGGAAATTTTCTTCTAAAGAGGACCAAAAGACATCTTTTGTTTACTTGAAAATCTCTTCTCATATTCTTTAAATTGGACTCTTAAGAAAATACTATTTTAATGGTAACACAAAAATAATTATAGAATTGGACATACCAGAATATATATTAAATCTGCAGATGCAGTGAATTCTAGTATTGATACTGATGCAATAAATTATAGTAATGATACTGAGAATATTCTGGTATTGGTCTGGTGATGTTTAAATCAAGGTAACAAAATTTCCAATGTCTTGTTAACTTCCTTGACTGGGCAGAGGCAAGTGGCTTTTTTTTTTTTTTTTTATGTCAATAGCTAGGAGGTTGAATATATTCTTTTCATCCAAAGCAATGTGCTATGCAAAAAATCCTTCCAGTGTTCCTGTGGAAGAATGATTCTTCCTGTGTCCTCCAGTGACAAGGGAGATTGGTGGTGCCTGAAGGAGCCCTGATACGATGATAAGGTGGCTTATTCAGTGACCGCTACATGACAAGCATCTGAGTATTTTAGGTCCCCACTTTGATGTCTAACTCCTCAGTTCCCTCATGCTGTGCAGACATCTGTTTGTACCTTGGCCCTTGAAACGTTACTGTGCCTTCTGTATTACCTATCATTTTCAGCTGGGGACATAAGGGCTCCAGAATCAGCCAGATGAGTTGAAGACTTTCAGGGATTTAAGTCCTACACTAGGGAAGAAACTTCTGGGAACAGTGGGATTCTCTGCTCATACCGAGTATGAGGCTGTGAGAACACCAGCAGCGTTTCAGAAGCAGCAGTTTCAGTATCTTCTTGGAAGACAGGGTAGGAACATCAGTAAACAACGCAGGAGACACCCAGCTGTTAGTTTGTAATGGAGAGAGATGGCGGGCTGGGAGCGAAGTGGTGGTGAGTCTCAAGCACCAAGAAAAGTTTCCATACAGTTGCAAAAGAATTCCTTAAGTTCCATTTGAATCACTTGAAATGGTGATGATTTCTCCTGCTCTGGTTGAAGCGCATATGCTCCTTCACGGGTTAGGTTTGCTGCAGAAGCTTTGAGATGTGAATTGCTGCAGTTGTCACGGGGTGGTTCCCTATGGCACAGAAACCGTGAGAAGGCAGGCAGTTAATTTTCATGGCCTTTGCCCGGAGGAACGGGGCGGGGGAGGAAAAACGAGGTTGCACCACAAACGGATCGATTTGCCCTTTAACGGGATGAGACGACGATCGGCCACCGGGCTCCGTCCCCCGGCGGACACCGCCCCTCGCAGGACGTGGTAACGTGCCCGTGCCCCAGCCCCAGCCCCAGCCCAGGG